TCCAAACAACCAACAGCTTAGTCTATCCTAGTTATTCACTTGATATCAATATTTAGCTTCTTTTCTTGAATAAACCAAATTCTGTGTATTTCATCAAATAAAGTCGTTGATATCTGCTGGAAAATCATCTTCCGACAGTCAAAATCAAATGTATGCATGTTCGTGATGCAAACGCGAGCGAGACACTAATGATTTCTTGAATGTGCTAAAAAAATAAAAGTACTTACGTATAGGAACACATCCCAAATGCGTGCACACACCGACCAGTATCGACCATTCTGGATTCCTTGTCCTTTGCTCATCGCTTTCTGGATGACGCAGCTCACTCATCGCCGTATCGCGTGAATGTTGAATCTCTTTCGCAGTTCGATGCTTCACGAAAACCGGCTTGCCTTGCCACTCGTATGTTTTAGTCTGCAAACTTCTCGGAAGCACTGAATTCAATTCGGTTGCGAAGCATTTTAGATCCCAGCAAAAATAAAGTGAACTATAACGAGGTAGCATCATTTTGTTCGAAGATAATTCAGGTATTCACATTTACCTGTCCTTCGGGTATCTCCTCCATTTTCACTTCAATCGAAGCTAAGGCCACTTGATCTGCGGCCATCGCTTTGAATGCGACCATTCTTTGGATTGATTCCTTTGCGGTTATCAGAGCCATTGTTCCACCAACTAAATTTTTTGTTCATTCAGTCATCTTCATTAGAATTCTGGTTTAATTCTCATGAATCTCCGAAAATTTTATTAGGATTTTTATTCGCACTGTTCCATTCCTCAACAATTTTATCTTCATAGGACCAGATGAAAACTTCACCGAAACACTTTCATAATTGTTCTTGCGTCAAAGATGCATTTTCACCTTTCATCTACCTAAAATTACCATAAAATGAACAAGTAACGTTTCTGATCATATGTAAAATGATCACTGCAAACGAGAACCTTATGAAGAACATATCATATCCTTCCTGCAGATTCTCAGCCTATAAACTAACCAACCTCCGTAGTAAATTGCCGATGGTATGGCTCGTCTGTGATCTTCACTTTCT